CTTATTTTACGAACTTTTCAGTTGAACATAATTATCGTCGCTGTATGTTTTGAATACCAAACTTTTAATTTAATTTTCCAACAATACAATAGCAGTTTATGATATTTGTGACACCTTACTGAAAACTGATCAAACTTATTGAAAAAAATAAACTGCCTTACTGAGCTGAACTTGTCAGGGTTGGCAGGTCTGTATCATATGACTTGTATCCTTGTCCAGAGCTTAAATTTTTGAATCGCTGAATTTTAATAAAACTTTAGCTAATTATATATTGAATCCATTTTGTGATCCTAAGGTCATGGTCACATTCAATTATGAAAATGGATTTTAGTCTACAATTCACCATTAAGGATGGATTTCACTTGCGATTAGGAAAAAGGCTTTTGATTTCTGATTGACAATGAAGGTTACTGAAAGCAAAAAGTGAATTCTGCACAATAAATGTGAAGTCTCCATCATCATTACCAATCTTTATACATGGCTTGCACTTTGAAAAAGAATTGGAGCCTTTTGATTTTGGGGTCATAGTCATCGAAAGAAGAAAAATAGATTCTGCACATGAACTATAAATCACAGACCTGTACCAAACTTTGTGAATGGCTTGCACATGGGTATCACTTTTGAGCTGAAATTTCATGGTCACTCATATGTAAGAATAAAAATTGTTTTGCACAATTACATTAGTTCTACATTGGAACAACCTTTAATGGATGAGAAACATTTGGGGTAGTGAAGAAGTTAAAAAGGGTCAGATGTTGAGATCATGATCAAAATGATTTCAGATCATTTAGAGACCAATCTTTGTAAATGGCTGGGCCTTGAAGCAAGGTTAAGATCACAGATTGAATGAATAAAAGTGCTTCCCAAACAATAACTCTAGTATTCTTTCATCTAGTTTTCATTGTGAATGTCATGTACTTGAACCCAGTCAATTTTGGAGTTGTAGCTATAAGCTGTCTTTGACCTGAAGAATACAAATCAAAATAACATTTGTTCTAGATAACACTAGTAGGCCAGACTTTGTGCATGGTTAGCTTGGGAAGACCTATCTGATTTGGAGTGTAAATCAGGTTTATTGATCCAAATAAAATTTGAATCGTCTCCAATATTTGTGATGAACAAAATTTTCAAATTAGCCATTGTGGCAAATGTATTGGATGCAAGATTGGCATAACAAAAACACCATAAGAAGACTTCATAGAAATTGTGTTTATAATGACTATCCATTCTGGAGAATTGTTGGCAAGAATTGAAATATTTTTCTTGTATTTCATGTGAGACCATTTTTATTCAGGGTTAACACATTATTACAGTTTAGCTTTTGGTGAAACCTATTTTTTTCCCAATTTAAAAGAGCATAAATAACAGTATTTTATGATGACTTACATAGAGGACATGCTGGATATTGGATTGATCTTTTAATTAAATTCAGAGACTAATCTTTTAGTGAAAATCCCATGTTAATGTGACAATCAAGGCGTAATTGTTACAAGATTTTCAAGGTGACCACATTGGTGTCTAAACTAGATATCAGATCCACATCCTTTTTATTTAGTATGATGTAGACCTTGCATGTTTAGTGGAGAAAACCCAAATATGGTATGGCTTTACATGTAGTAAAAGTAGCGGTAAAATTGTCAAGATGGTGCTGTGGTGTCCATATGAAATATCTGGTCTACACCATTTTTATGGTATTGAAGACCAGAAGTAAAATATGATTTTCAAGTTAGCTGCTGTGATGGCTTTATTTGAATAAGTGAAATCATTTTAATTTAGGACCTGTTAGATATCACAAGAGGTTTTCTGGTGAAAACTGCAAGTCTATTTTACTTTATATTCTGGACGAGAAGTGATAAGATGTTCAAGATGGCAACCATATTGGACATATCAGATTAGTATAATCTTCAGTGAGGACCAACTGTCGGAAGCATTTTCATTTAGGATCAATTTAAGTCTTTAGGTGTAAACCCCATATAAATGGGACTTAACATTTTGTCAGGAGGAGTAAAGACAAGATTTGAAACGTGGCTGCTTTAATGACGAAATTGGATGTATCAGCAACTCCATTTTCATTTTGGACCAACTAGACCCCGGGATGAATGTATCGAGTTTAATGGCAAAGTCTCTAGTGGCAGCAATAACAAAATTGTGTCAATGAATAGATGTGCATTGGATGACGGACAGTAGATCATCCCATTCTTATACCTGCCAACCTATACAAATTTGTAAGTCTTGTTGATACCATTCTTAAATTCTGGATTATTTGCAGCAGTTGAGCACAATCATTGTGGACAAATGCAGATGCAGTCTTGTTGGTAGTAGCCAACCTATACAAATTTGTAAGTCTTGTTGATACCATTCTTAAATTCTGGATTATTTGCAGCAGTTGAGCACAATCATTGTGGACAAATGCAGATGCAGTCTTGTTGGTAGTTGATCTTGATTTTTTCACAATAGATTCAGTGGAGTTGGTAAGGTAACTAGCGACTTTACCAAAGTACCTCCTATGCTTTAAATGTCCATATTTTGCATACAGCAACCCTCTAAAAAAGTTTTGAAAAAAATTAACATAAAACGAGAGACCTTTGATGAAACTGATACTACACTAAGCAAAAAAATTTCCAGGAATTCAAGAGCATTTTTTAAAACTCATATTCTTAAGCAATAAAATTATTTTTAAATTGGATGCTGTGGTGTACGTGTGTTACAGTAAGTCAGCTTGACACTATTGTCACTAGGACCAAGCAGACATTAAAAGTTTTTTGGTGAAAATCACATAATCCTCAGTTTGGGGAAAAAACATTATTAAGAGGGTTGTTGTGGTAGCCATATTGTATGTATGACATCATTTTCATTTGGAACCACCTCATAACATAAGACCTCAGTGATAATTATGTTGATACAACCATCCATGTTGAAATATTGATAAGATTTTTAAGATGGCTGCTATGGTGGCCATATTTGTATCAATATTTTTATTTAGGACCAATTAGACATTTGTTTAGTGACAAAATCCCATGTTGATTAGGTCATTCATGCAGAAGTAATGGGATTTTCATGACAACTGCTGTGGCAGCCACACAGGAAATTGGATGGGCACAATTTTCACTGAGGACCAACTAGACATATCAGTGGTTCTCAAACTTTATTTTGGGCCTCGGTCCCCTAAGTTATCGTCGGCACCCGGACACCCCCCTCAGTAATCCCACTGCTCATTTTGGGAACCACTACATTATATGAAGACCTTGGTGAAAAATCCATGTTGATATGTCCATCTGTTCTGGAAGAGTAGTACATGTAATAACATAATTTTGAAGATGGCTTCTGTGGCCACCATATTGGATGTCAGATTGGGTTCACTTTCACTTTAGACCAACTAGACTTCTTAAGAAGTTTTGAAGTGAAAAGCCATGTTGATATTGATACAACCATCCATTCAGAAGAAGCAGCAATAACAAGATTTTCAAGATGGCCACCATGTAGGCAATAATGGATGTTCAGGTGGCACTATTTTCAATGAGGACCAAAAAGACCATGCGATGAATGCCTCTTAAAGGTTTTTTTGGCAATCCTTGAGTATTTCAGGAGGAGTAGTGCTAAGTGTGTGCTTATGGGTAAATAGAAGACCGACCGTCATAAGTTCCGATCTCTGACCAGTAGAAAAAAAAATTAATTCTTTAGGGAATAAAGCAAGAAAGGTGACAATTAAATATGTCAATTTGAATATGCATCGTGAGTTGATTGCTGTCACAGCTTGAAGTTAAAAAAGGAAAAATATCCCAAAGATTACATCAAGTTGAGAGAAATCTAGAAAAGAGCCCTTAAGTTCCATAAGATTTGGAAATGCAGTTTCTGAAACTACTGGTAGTAATTAAGGTCCAAGTGTACCGTATAATCTTTTTAGTTGAACATAATGTCTGCTAAGTCTCATGCTTTAAATGTCTATTTCTAGGTAGACAATAGCAGTACATGTTAAATCATTACACCAAATGATGACAGGCCAAAACATTGAACTGTTTTACGGATAACTTGTAGCGCCCCGAGTCATCTAAAGCGCTTTCCATTATGGATCACTGCCATCTCTCTTCTGCCTGCGTGGGTTTGAGTCCAAGATTTGGAGAATGTGGATATGTGAGAAAGCTTGCCAGTGGCTTCTTGTTGGTTGGTGATTCTTTCCGTGAGAGAAATCTAGAAAAGAGCCCTTAAGTTCCATAAGATTTGGAAATGCAGTTTCTGAAACTACTGGTGGTAATTAAGGTCCAAGTGTACCGTATAATCTTTTTAGTTGAACATAATGTCTGCTAAGTCTCGTGCTTCTTTAAATGTCTATTTCTAAGTAGACAATAGCAGTACATGTTAAATCATTACACCAAATGATGACAGGCCAAAACATTGAACTGTTTTACGGATAACTTGTAGCGCCCAGAGTCATCTAAAGCGCTTTCCATTATGGATTACTGCCATCTCTCCTCTGTCTGCATGGGTTTGAGTCCAAGATTTGGAGAATGTGGATATGTGAGAAAGCTTGCCAGTGGCTTCTTGTTGGTTGGTGATTCTTTCCGTGGATTCCTCAACCATCGATACTGGTTGCCATGTATAGCCTATCATGTGCTGAAAAATGGTGTTAAATTCCAGAACAACAACAGCAGATAACTTGTTAGAGTCGGTAAGTCGGCATACCTTTTGAGTTTTTGACTAGTGAGCTAAAATGGTTTCTGCACAGCAACAATAGTTATACAGACTAGGACCAAACTTTGTGGATGGCTAGTAAATAATTAAAGCCTAAAGCCTATATACTGGATTCCAAACATCAAGGTCGGTCTGTAATTTTAGTCTTTACACTATGTATTTTGGCCATATAAATTCCATTGAGCACATCATAAACTGTAGACAAAAACTAAATTTAACTGATAGGAGTACCTAGATTTCAGTAATGTAATTACAAATAGGTAAAAATATTTCATCAACTGCATTGGAAAAGGGCAATTCTTTTTTTTACCACTCCTATGGTCTAGTGGTTAGAGCATCTGCCTCGGATGCATGAGGTCGTGGGTTTGAGACCCCTGTTGAGTCATACCAAAGACTCGCAAAAATGGTACTAACAGCTGCCTCACTTGACATTCAGCATTAAGAGGTTAGTGTTAGGACTGGTTAGAATGGTGTCAGGATAATGTGACTGGGTGGGACATCATGCTACATATCTGCAGCATTATGCCCTAGTGCTAGACATCACTAAACTGCCATACTGTAGACATCGTAGCGATATGACAGAAAAATTGTTAACGCTACATTAAAAATCATAATCACATCACATCAATTCTTTTTAAGTTTCTAAAACTTGACCAGGATATGAGAAGTTGCAAAGATTTCAGAATTTACTGAAACAATCCCTATAAATGTGAATGAGGGCACAGGTGTCTTCACAACAGTGTTCAGCTGTTCAAACACTTTTTAGGTAAGGAAAAAGTACTAAACTTGGTACCAGCATGTTTAGGTGACTGCTTCGGTGGCCAAAGTGGTTAAAGCGCCCCCAGGAAGCAGAGGGTTATGGGTTTGAAACCCTGCAGAGCAATACCAAAGACATAAAAATGGTCCTAGCAGTTGCCTCGCTTCACACACAGCATTATGAGGTTATTGTTACAACCGGTCAGCCTGGTGTCAAATTAATGTGACTGGAAGGGACATGATGCTACATATCTGTGGCTAACAGCACTATAAACTGCAACACTGCCGATATTGTAGTGATATGACTGAATTTGTTAAAGCTACATTGAAAATCCCAATCTCACACATTCAGGTGAATTAAAATGTGAATCTTTTGGACTTCATCAATTTTTGGTGAAATTTGGAAATTGAAAGGAAATTAAACTGCCTGCCTCCTACAGTGACATTTGATGAACTGTTTATAGCTATTTGTATTTATAAGAATGTAATTTAGGTATTCCTATTGCTTATCATTAACATGCAAAGTTAATGTGATGCTTCTACGACCAATGTTGACCATTAATACTGGCCGCCATGAATAGCCTATCGTGTGCTGAAAAATGGCGTTAAGCCCAAAAACAACAACAACAACGACCAATGTTGACAATAAAGGGCACTTGTATCTTCAGTTTCATTTGATAATTTAAATGGAGTCCTTAGAAAAGATAACATGCGGAACCATCCAGAAAGTCTTTATCAGCCCGCAGTCTTGAGATGTGGGTTTATGTGCTAAATTGTGTACAGCTGAGACTTGATCTTTACTGAACTGTGTTGTGTACCATATGTGGTTTTACAGTACATTAATGTGAAACATTACCTTATGTACTCTTTGGGTATGTTTATTTTCAAAAAAAGTATAAACAGATCTCAGTTCATTTATGACTGTACAGTGGTAGTGTTACAAGTTCCTTCATATGGAAGAGAAAAGTGTTCACAAATCAAAGAGGGATGGTTTCCAGGTTTTCTGTTACATAATAACATTTGATTTAAACAGCTGGGCAATAGATGGTGTCAAGAATAGATGGTGGTTTCCAGCATCAGGATCTGTTATGCCACCCAATCCCCTTGGTCATGAGGAGTTTAATAACTGGTGTAAGTCTAGAAAAGTGTGTCTTGCAAATGTGGAAATATTGGTTCAAGATGCAAAAATTAGATGAGGGTGATGAAAAATTTAAAATTGCCTAAGGTCTTTTCATTATTAAACTTTGTACCATGATTGGTTTCAGCTCATGAGGTTCTTTAAAAATTGAAAAAGACAATGAGGCAAGGGCAAATTTGCCAAATCAAACAGGGCCCATAACTAATTCAAGTCTGAATAACAGTGAAAATCAAGCAAAAACTTTATTATTTTAATATTTAGCCTCATGGGATAGACTAACAGACAGGAATGACTACCATATTTTCCAGCCTATACATTTATTATCTTTTACTTGAAAATTGGGTCATTTTATATTTCAAATTGATTTGAATATGGATGATGTCATTGAAATTGCATCTTATATATGGATTAGGGTACCTGGTGTGCTATTGAAAGGGCTCTATAATAGGTATAATAAAAAAAAAGGTAACACAAGTACCAATTCTTGTTCAATTACTATGTCAATAAATTGTTATAAACTAATATGACTGTTAATATTTATAAATTTTGTCATTTGCATTCTGATTGTATTTTCTTATTTCTCAAACATGAACTAAAACAATTGCCCGTAAAAAGTTCATTGGGGAGAATAGCACACTTACAGTCTATACTCATAGAGTACTGTACTAATTCAAAGCATAGTCTGTTCCTACCAAAAGATGTGAAGTAATTTAGTTTTATTCATCCTTTTTAACCATACCTCATTCTTCCTGATCACATTTAAGAAATTGGTCCATTGATTTTTGATTTTTGAGAATTCTTTTGGACATACACAAGTGATTACTGGTATAGCTTTTTCATTGATATAATTGATCCTACAAAGGGATGTAATCCATATTAACACTAGCGTTATATGATTATTTATAAAAATACCGTAGATTATGCTTTCCACTGAATTACCCAAATAAATTGTAATTCACAAAGTGTCTCTAATAAATATGGTTTAAACTAAAATAAAATCATATATATAGATGGACTACTCATAGATCATCAGTGATGATTTTAGTTTTGCATTTCAGTTTAAAGCAAATTGTAATGTCAACACATCACCTAGATTCATTCTTAACCAGTTGTCATTTTGGTGTCTCTTTGATTATACTGGTAGTTGATATACTGAGCTTTGGTTTCCAACAACAATCAAAGCTAGTTATCGTAATTGTTTAAACCTCAATGGTGGATTTGGCTACCAAAACTAGTTACTCTATTGCCAATACTCCATTGTTCTTCATTATTAATCCACATCAATTATGCTACCTGTTTTTAATATCAAGTGGATTAAGAACCACAAGAAATGATGCTCACTCCCTTCTCTGGATATAAATATTGAATTTAGCTACCCTTCTCTGGATATAAATATTGAATTTAGCTATGGGCATTGTTTCATTCCCATAGTACTGGCACATTTTAATGAGTTAGGTATGGATCCGTCTTTTCAGTATTAATCATTTATATAAATATCCCCTTACAAATCATACAACTTGTCTCACAATGTCTCCTGTCATATCATGCAAGTCTTACACAGGGGCTTTCAAGCTGAAAGTTGGCAAAAGAGAAGGGTAGAAATATGGCAGCTCATAGGAAATATGGTACAGGTGAAAAATTCATCCAGGATTGGCGAGAAGCTTTTGAATTTAAAAGAAAAACAATACCAAATAAGAAATTCCCTAGTGGAATAATGATTGAAGTAAATCTAAAAGGATGGGTGGACAGTAATATGATGGGGTCGTGGTTAGATAAATGTTGGTGGATTTTCCTCACTAAGAAGTCCCTCCCCTTTATGGATTCTATGCATGCACATATCAGTACCAAGACAAATGCGAAGAATGAAAACGAGAAGGCATCATCCCAGGTGGTTTGACATGGTCATTACAAAAATTACACATTTCCGTTTAATTACTGTTTCAAAGCTGAGCTTCGTAAGTTGTGGAAACATTGGATGATGGCAGGCGAGCACAGATTCACAAATGGGACATCTGCATTTTTATGTTGCACATTGGGTTACAGATGCATGGAAATCAGCTATTGTGGATGGCTCTGCTGAGCAGAAATTGTCAGCAGGAGAGAGAAGCCAAATTAGATGACTAGATGGAGACAGCGGATAATGAGAACATTTCCAATGATCTGAGCCCCGACATAGCCACCATTTTTCATTCCAAGGAATTTTCAGATATTGAAAATGTTTAAGTGAACTATTTGCTCATTATTTTCTCAGAATGTGGAACAGTTCTACTACAAGTAATAAAATGATTTACATCAATATGTTCTTTCAATTACAATTGACATGTTAAATAATATAAAACTACATTTGATGCAATATTTCATAGTTATGTTAAAATATAATATTATTGTTTGTGTTAGTTATAATTCTTTTTTATTTTTGTTTCATTACATTTTATTGTAATGACTTTTCACAGCATTCAACATTTTTTTAAATTATGTTTATTTAGAATGTAAAACCTATTACATACAGAAGCATTATTTTTAGTGCACTCTGGTACACAGTTATCTAAACATCAGGTGATAACAATTGATTGTTTCCAAGGTCATTTTGGTCTATGTGTTTGTTACCCATGTTGTAAACAGGCTTTTTCATTTCTAGCATGAGTGGTGTTTTAGATGTTTTAGATGGAGCTATTCTAAGTTATGTGATCTAAAATCAGACGGTCAACTGGTATTAATTTAGTTGTAAAAATACCTTTAGGAGCCCATAATATTTTCTGTTGCTATATAATGAGTTATTTGTTATGCAAAAAATTTTTATATTCTCTGTAAAACAAGTGCTTCTTCATCACAGTCTTGAACAAAGACATTCAGTGGAAATTATTTGGAATTCTAAAGCTTGAATATTATTATTGATTCACAAAAACAAGGAACTAATGTCATCAGTACTGATGTCATCACCTTCCATACTGGAACTTCATTGAGATTCGAACCTGGATTCAATTAAGACTGTTTAATGACAGGACTTATTTTTCAATTCTATGATTAATTTTATAGTGTTTTCTAGGGAAATAAATTATTTTGTTAAAATTTATGAATCTTGTTGACTTCACTCTTTTCTTATTTTACATTTGTACGAGCCTACATGTAACAATAACAAAAAGTATATTTTTGTGTAACTTGTTTTTGTCTCTTATTTTTCTTCACTTTTCTGATTTCCCTATGGATGGCCTCATTTCCCTATCATAAGCCTCACAGAGTTTATCTCATCTTTTGACTTGTATTCAAGGCTGTTTTCAACTGAAAAATTCAGATTAAGCTTTAGACCACAGCCATGTGACTCTTGTTGCAGTGGATATCATAATTAAAACAAGCATGGACTGTTTATTCATCTGTGTCAATTGATAATGGAATATAGCAGTGCCCTGTGCAGGAGTAAAATCACAAATCAAGTAACTGTACTATATGGATTTATAACTGCCCTGAACTCTCTCTACAAATCAAAACTGGA